TACATCATTATTTTACGTACCAAGAAGAAGGAAAAAAGCCCCCCATCAAACCATGACACTCCATCGATTTTAAGACACATCCCAATCTCAGAGGTGCTAAAACGTGAAAAACACGGTCATCTTAGAATCAATGCAATGCAGTCATTCTCATCTTCTCAGAACACGGTACAAGCTCCACGGATTCGGTGTGAGGCTGCCAAACGGTGAACTCAATCTCTAAGTGAAGGGAAGCCTGAGGGTGCTCTGATTAGATTCAAGCTTGAGGAGGATCACTCTGAGGGTCAGATGATGAGGAACTGGGGGAAAGCCAGCCATAGGAAGACTGACAAGGAAGCCCCGGCCCACAATCCAGGAGATGAGAAGGGCTGGATTAAAGCGGGGGGTGGTGGGGGTAGACAGGAGGGGCCCGATGTGAAAGCCTTTCCCGTCATAAATCCCACAGGTCCCGGACTGGGTATAGGAAGTGAGGGAGGTTTCTAGTTTGAGATAATAGATGGATTAATCACTTCTTCAGTATTTACTTTGTGTCCACCTTATGCCAGGCATGACGCCAAGTGCTGGGTGTACCGTGGTGGGTAAGACAGACACTGTCCCTGCCCTCTTGTCATTTACAGTCTGGTGCGCAATGCCATTAACTGTGGGAGAGTATTAGCGGGTACAGGGGTAGGACACGAAGGGGAGGCGGAGAAAAATAACAAGTTTACATGTCCCGAAGGCAGCAGAAGCCTGAGTGTAGAGCCCAGGAAATAAGTCAGGTCTATAGATTCTCATTAAGAGGTCATCAGGTTATGGATAACAACTGAGGCAGGTGGAGAAGACGAAAGAGCCAGGGAGAGCTGGTAGAGAAAGAAGGCAAGAGGGGGCAAAAGCAGAAGCCTGGGGAATTGAGACATTTAAAGGAGAGGAGGAGGAGGAAGGAACAAAGGAGACTAAAAAAGCAACAATCTAGAAAGGAAGAGGCCCGGGAGAGAGGGGTATCTATAAACCAAGGGAGACAGGTATTCTCATATAATCCAATTTACTTGCATCTATAATTACTGTGTAGAAGTAATTTACCTTGGCAATGTACAATTCAGATTTTTCAGAGTTACGGGTATTTTGCATGAATGCCAAATAGGCTTATCAGAACTGCTTATTTAGAGAGTTGTGATATTTTTAAATATTGCCACAATCTGTTCCTTTAGCTTGTATGTGCTTTGCGTTTTGCATGTATCTCAGTTTGACATCTAGCATGAGTCAATGGCAGAGTAATGGTAATTTCTTACTTCTTATTTTCCTTCTGCAGGAGCTATAATCTGCCATTCCAAGACAAAAATAAAACAAGAATATACATTTATGCAACTGCCTTTCATATCAAGGCACTGGGAATTGGGTAAAACTGATCTAGGTACACAGTGGAGTCCCCTTGCAAGATCATCATGAGGTTCTTGGCCTAGCTGAGCCTGTGATGTGGTAAGACACTCTGGTCCTCTGGAATTGCTCAGAAAGGTCCTTCATTTTATAGGAGAGGACACAAGGCCCAGAGAGGTTAGGTGGCCTCCCCAACATTACAGTCTTACGATTCGGTGGCCAATACTCCTTCTACACCAAGGTGACCCAATTCTACCCTATAAAGATCGCCCAAATATATAGTAAAATATATAAAAATACATATCAAAGTATGATAAACACCATACACAAAACATAGAGTCTACCAGAGTTGGTGAAACAAACAGAGGAAGAAGGCTACCTTTCAATCATATGGTTCCATGCCTGCCCAGATTTCATTCAACTCATCTGCTCCATTAAGCGCTCTTACCGTTAAGTTTTATCAGTTCCGCACTGGTCCAAGGAAAATAGACTCCTAGATCTTCACTTTGTTGGTCGCTGAATCTTTCAGCCTGACCTGCAGGCTCAGGACACTATCCATTGTCACGCTTATAGGTCTTACTTAAAGAGAAATCCTCAGCCTCATCTGGAATTTTCCAGAGGTAAATTCTAGAATGATTCCTTAATAGGTTGCCTTGGCAACCCCACAATGTCAGAAGCAGATATGACAGTACCTGCCAACAGAATGTGAACAACACAAGCTGGATGAGAGAGCCACTTCCTGTTTATTGGAAAGGCAGATTCCAGGTTCTTCAAGCTTTCTTTCTGCCACTATTTGCCTCCCTGTCAACCATTTTTGCATCATGAACACAGAAAACAAAGAACAGTTGGTTTCTTGGAGGAACGTTGAAACTATTAGCTAAAACAAGGCCTGGGAAAGATCCATGGCTTTCTTTTCAAAAGCCTTGCTGCTATTGCCCGAGAGGACTAAGCACTCATTGTGAAGCCTTTAGAAAAGTTTTCAGAGAATTTTCTTTAAGAGCACTTATTCTTGTCTTGGTTTCATTCATATATTCATTCAACAAATAGGTCAAAGGCAGGCCACCCCAAAATGTGCCACTTTGGCACAGAGATTATTTCCAGCTAAAATCAATCAAGGCCCCAAAAGACACATGAAGAAACTTGAACCTTCCCCCTAACTGTGTAAAAGAATTTATACAGAGGACCTGCTCCAGGAAGAGAGCTGTTGCTACATAGCTAACTATATCATGATATGAACTAGGTATGGTAGACAGGAAGGAACCTAACAAGACCTGTTTGATCAAATTCCTCTCTATGTCCCATTGTTTCTGAGTGGCCCAGCAAACATTTGTTTACCCAACATCTACTCTTTTTCATCTTCCTGTGAATTGCTTCCCTTCCCTTTGAAGTCCCAGACTCCTACCCTCTTCTCCTTGGTTCAGGATGACATATAGACCTCATCATGCCTATCTTTGGGATCTCATGTCTGTGTGGATTTCCTGCATGTACATAATTAAGTTTTATTTTCTCCTGTAAATCTGCTTCATGTCAGTTCAATTCTTAGACCAGCAGGAAGAACTTTGAAGGGTATAAAAAGATTTTTCTTCCCCAACATCTCCCTTTTAGGTCTGCTTCTCACTACCAAACACAATTCCTGCTGGTTTGTCATATTCCTGCTGGTGTGGCTATGTGAAAAAGACACTATGAAAACAAGCTGGTGAGAGATCCAAGATTTCTATGCATTGTTTTTCCTGAGAAGGTTGTGAAATATAGGGCCTAGAGCAAACTACTGTCATTTTTTAAAAATTAAAAATGAAGTTTTCTGTGCACAGAATAGGAGGATTAGGAAAGGGAACCAGGAGTAAGTTCTTGTTATTTCATAAAAATATCAGACCTGCCACGTAACAGCTGTGTGTGAATTTGAGAAAATTTTATATTACCTCTCTGTGCCTGTTTCTTAGAAAACCAGCATATAAAAAAAGAAAAGACAGAAAAGAAAGGAAAGGAAAAGAAAAAGAAAAAGAAAAACTTGGATAGTAATAGTACCACCACACTGGGTTAAAGTAAGGAATAAATGACTTAATATATATCATGGCAGCCTAGTTAGTTGCCTAATCAATATCCATTCTCCCTTTCTTCCTTACAAGTAAAATCTCAATTTTGTTCTAGGTGGCAATGGGCTTAGCCAACAAAATTTGATTTGCTAGGTTCCCTTGCAGTTAGGGGTGGTCATGTGACACAGTTCTGGATAACAAAATATAAGCCAAAATCTACTGGCTGAGGTTCCCAGAAAAGCTATTTTCCTGATTTAAAAAAAAAAAAAAAAGACTCAGCTGACATGAGCCCTTTCCTCTTTGCCCTTCCCCCATTCTGCCTGGAACCAGGACACGATGTCTGGAGGAGAAGCAGCCTTCTTGTGAGCATTAGGAAGAGAGCCTCATGCTGAGAATGATAATGCAGAAAGGTTGAAAGATGAGCCTGAGACATGGATAATAATGTGAAGTTGCTTCTCTCGTGACTTCATATCACATGGCATAAAAACCAACCCCTCTGTGTTAAGTCCTTGCTATTTCACTTACCTTATTACATGCAGCCAACCACATTCTCTAACCAGTATACCTATAAAGCAGTTTTAGTAGTGCCTAGCTCATCATTAGTATTCAATAAATGTTAGCTGTTGTTACTATTATAATTTGCACAGCATTCTGTTCCCTAAACAGATGGTTAGCAAGTATTCCCCTCACTTCCTTGCAATAGTACCCCAATTTTCCTTTTTGAAATCAACTCTCTCCTTATTCTCAGCCCTGTGGTTTCCATGGGATTGACATCACCCCTACTTTAAGTATAGGCCCTGGGGGCACCTGGGTGGCTCAGTCAGTTAAGCATCTGTCTTGGCTCAGGTCATGATCTCAGGGTCCTGGGATCGAGCCCCACATCAGGCTCCATGCTTAGCGGGGAGCCTGCTTCTCCCTCTTCCTCTGCCTCTGCCCCTCCCCCAGCTCACGCACGTTCTGGCTCCCCCTCTCTCTCTATCCCTCTGTTGCTCTTAAATAAATAAATAAAATCTTAAAAAAAAAAAAAGTATAGGCCCTGATAGGCTTAAGTAAATCAGCATGAGCCCACGTCCCAAACAACAGTGATTGTCAAGGGATGGGCCCATAACTCAGGCCTCAGGCAGTGAACACATCACCTTTACTTGGCAAAAGGGAGTGTTCAGGTGGGCATGTAGCTAAAGACTGGCAATATAAGTGAATCTCGGGGTTCCTGGAGAGAGCGCTAGGATCTAGACTCACTGTCCTGCCCCAGGTGTGGTGCTCTGGGAAGGCTGGCACCACGAGGAGAGCCGGTGTGAGGGGCACAAGGGTGACCAGGAGAGGGCAGGGAAAGAGAGCTGGGGCCCTCCATTGGAAATCTCGGCATGACATTTTACCTTAGGAATTTTCAAGTCACATTCATTTGAGACTGGTTTTGCTAACTTGGTTTGGATTCAGTCGTCTGTCACTTGCGATCACAAGATTCCTTCTGATACTGTCAGACGGGGAAAAAAGAAAAAAAAAAGAAGAATTTAACATAAGGATTATAGACTTATTTTTTTAAAATTTTTTTTTTAAGATTTTATTTATTTATTTGAGAGAGAGAGAATGAGAGACAGAGAGCATGAGAGGGAGGAGGGTCAGAGGGAGAAGCAGACTCCCCGCCGAGCAGGGAGCCTGATGCGGGACTCGATCCCGGGACCCCAGGATCATGACCTGAGCCGAAGGCAGTCACTTAACCACCCAGGCGCCCAGGATTATAGACTTAAAAGAAACTTTCCGTACTCTTGCCTAGTGCATCTATGTAATCAAACCTAGGGTCAAGCACAATGTAAATTCATACCCAAATTGCCTTTCCAACAGAAAGGAACAGCAATAAAATCTGCAATTTGCAATCGTGTAAATTCATTCATATTTCTTTTCCAAAAGAGAAAACCCAGGCAATTGAAAGTGTTTTATTTTTGTTTTTTTGTAAATATGTCCAGGACAACTCCTTTAAGAATAGATGTGTATTTGGGTTTTAGAATGAACGCTGGACCCAGAGGCTGACACTGTAAACCTGTGACTAATACTGAAACAGTATTCACAGACAGTTGTCATGGCAGCCTGCTCATTCTGCACAAAATAGAACCCCCTGAATTTTAACAGGATTTATCAGAGGAAAGCTGCTAGCCGGCAGACAGCCTCTAACTGAGTTAAACAACCTGCTAATTGGTTTTATTATTACATTAGCCCTCAGACTATACCCTAATTATATTCCCCCCAAATCACAAATACTTAAAATCACTAATAAAAACCCATAATATAATTTTTGTTTAACACCTGCATCACTCTTGAAATCTTCCCATCAGACTATGAGGAACAACTCAGAGGCAAGTCCCATTGTGTGCACTGTTGAATCTCCTTGTAAATCTAAAGAAGATAGTAAGTGCTGGGCAAGTCGAGGGAGTAGCCAATTTCATTTCCGTCAACAATTAGCATTGGCTAGATGCAGCTATCAGATATTTCCTTTTAAGTGGGATTCTGTAGGAGAGGGGAGTGGCCAAATTGTTCTGTGCTCAGTTACAAAGTCCCAAGGGAGTGACTTTAGAAACTAGTGGCATCTCAAGACATACAAACAAGGGAGGTGAAGACAAAGGATTTTCATCTGATCTGTTCCTCTCCTGGGTGGCTATCTCTACCAAATTTAAGCTCATTGGTTGTGACTGGTTTTGACTGTGAGTGATTTTGGAGATTAGAGATAGCTGGTGTTGAGAGGAATACCACACGAGGCCATCTTTACTGTTAGACAGACTTTTCACATATCACCCTGCCCCCTCTCCCCTCTGCCTTCTCTTCTTTTGAGTCTCTACTTCGAGAGGAGACAGGGTCTATTAAAATTCAATAACATCCTGAGTTAGGAAAACAACATCAAACCATTATCATCCATTAACAGCTTGGAACAAATCAGTCCTTCAGGTAAATTACTGTTCTTCAAACTCCTTGAGATGGGGCCATTTCATACACTTAAAAAAAAAAACCCAAACTCCCACACTACCCAATACTGTGCTCCTAGACATATTGCAGGCCAAGGGACTGCGACACAGAGCAGCCCCTCAGTAACTGGTGGGCAGATCAGAGACACTGTCAAAATGATATAGGAGACATCTAAGGGTGAGAAATGTGGAAATGTTGAATCGGTAGGTATATATTTTCCCTTCATGTAACTGAAACTCCTACTAAACAACGGCATTACAAATTAGGGGTTTTATTTTTCACATGAAACGAAGAATCTGGAAGTACGAAATCTGCGGCTGGGACCCAGGCACCTTCTTTCTTTCAGCCGAGTCACGTAGCTTTCTTATTCAAAATTGTCAACTCACGGTCACAAAGTAGCTGCTCTACCTCCAACATCCACATTTGCATTCCAGGCAGAAAGCAAACAACTAAGGGCAAAATGACGCATACCACCTGAGTCTACCTTCATTTAAAGAAATGGTTTTGGAAGCCCCCCTGCTTCCAAACATCTCATGGCCAGAACTGTGCTGTGCAGTCTCTTTTAGCTGCAAGGGAGCCTGGGAAATCAAGTTGTTTTAGCTGGATACATTGCCAAATGAAACAAAATCAGGCAGTGCAGTGTAGAGGTTGAATACAGCCTATGGAGCCAGCTGGCCTGGTGTAAAGCCCTGCTCCTTATTTACTAGCTGTATGACTTACACAAGTCACTTAATTATTCTATGCCTCCGTTTCCTCATCTATAAGCCAGGCACGACAACCTTTTCTCACAGGGTTCTGTGTGGATTAAATGAGTTAATCTGAGCAAAGAGTTTAGAATGGTCTCTAATACCTAGCAAGTACTATACAAGGGTTTATTCTTTATTACTGAGGAAAAGAAGAATGAATTGGGGGTAAGCAACCAACGGTACCCCAGATGTGTTGCCCACTCTCGACCCCCACCTGTCCTGGCTTCTGGGCTCCGGGCGAGCAAGTACCCTGCTGTGTTTGAGAACCACTGGCTGGCTCCCAAGACACAATGACACCGAAACCCTGCCCTGCTGGAAGGGGCTCTTTCCCCATTTACTGGGAACTGAAGGCAACCAAAACTTCCGAGCATCTGAGACAGGACCCCACTGCCAGGCACTGCGCTGATGCCCATCCACTTTCCATGAATCATCAGGACTCCTTCTGTCGCGAGCGTCAGCGAACCCACTCCCAGCTGGCCTAAGCAAAACCGGGAATGCCTTCTTCCAATAACTGAGGAGTCAACAGGCGTACGTAAGGCATGGCTTGGTGGAGGCCTTACAGGACGGCATCCAATCGTTCTCCTTCTCAGCTCTAACCCCTCGCTCCATTCTTAGGCTTCAGGCAGGCAGCAGATGTCTTCATGCTTTGTGGTCACTCACTCCCTTCTCCATTCCCCGCATTTGACTCCCACCTCCTCAAAGGAGAAACAAGACGTTCGCTTTTCCAGTCTCTCTCCAGACAAGAGCACAGGGGGGTAACTTAGGCTCCGCCAGAGACTTCACTTAAGAGGGCAGCACGAGGAGCCACGGGGTTATGAAATCCATCTTGTGACAACATTAGTGACAGAGGGGTTCGGTTTTTAGAGGTGTGGCGCCCCATCACTGGCTTGAGTTGCTGCCTCTGTACTCAGTGGGTGTCTTGGCTGGTGCAGCCCCGCGGTGAGATTAAGACATTATTCCTGGCTTTGGAGTCTCCAAGGCCTTTTTGGAGATACTGTACACCACCAACTATCCTTTAATAAACTCATTTTCTTGTGAAACTAGCAGAAGTGTTGAATCCAGTTAGGTGATGTGAGGCTTTGGTAACAAACAATCCCAAATCTTCATGGCTTACAATGATCAAGGTTTACTTTTCACTCTGATTCCATGGCCAGCGTAGGTTGGTGGCAGTTCCATCACCTGGGGTCTTTTCTCTAAGACTCAGGACAACCTCTCTCTGAGCGTTGTTTTCCCCATAGCAAAGGGCAACACTGAAGTAGCGAATCCCAAGCTGGCTCTTCACACTTCTGCTTGGAAGCGATACACATCACTTCTGCCCACATTCAATCGGCCGAACAAGTCACTCAGTCAAGCCTACGGCGGGGGAAATGGTGTTAAAATCCCACAGGGGGAAGAGCAGTGAGTACTGTGAACAAGAGGGTTCTGTTGTATGCGACTACGAGTCCGGTCTGATACATTGCAATAGTCAGGATAGGGCAGCAGAACCTCCAGCCTCGGGATGATCTCACGTTCAAGTCAAGGATCGAGGAACAAGGAAATGTCTCTTCTTGGAGTTCAGGGCAAAGCCCCAGGATTAGCTCTGATTGGGAGTAACTGAGCCGGCTCTGAACAGATTCCCAACCCTGAACAGATTCATTCAAGACATATTTACTGGACCCTTACTATGTATCCGGTATTAGGCCCTGTGGAGCAAAGCAGTGAACAGAACCAAATCCACACCTTCATGGAACTTGCATTCTAGTTCAGGATGGCGGGGGACAAGCAACAAAACGACTAAGTAAATATCCAGCAAATGAGATGGCAGTAAGTCTTGCAAAGCAAAATAAGGCAGGAAAGGGGGATATCGCATTTCCAGTGTGAAGAAGCGGGGGTGGGGAAGAGTAACTGTAAATAGGGCAGTCAGGAGAGGCCTTGCTGACAAGATATTTGGGCAAATACCTGAGCAAGGTGAGAGCGAGCAATGGGATGGCCTAGGAAATGAGCATTCAAGGCTGAGAGAACAGCAGGTCCAAAGGCCCCGAGGCAGAAGAGGCCCAGTGTGTTTGAAGAACAGCAAGCAGGCAAGTGTGGCCGGAGTACACAGTAAAAGAAAAGGCAAAGTAATAGGATGTATAATCCAAGAGGTAATGGACGGGGGAGAAGGGGCATCACACAGGGCCTGGCAGGCCACTGTATGGCCTTGGCTTTCACTCTAGCTACGGTGAGGAGCTATTGGAGGGTTCTGAGCAGAGGAGTGAGACAGTCCAACTTACCTTTTAAAAAGGTCACTCTGGCTACTGTGCAGAGAATATTCCATGGGGAGAAAAGGGCAGAAGCTGGGAGGCCGGGATATGAGGTGTTTGGCAATGACCCAGGCCAAATGGGATGATGGCCTTGACTGCTGTGGTAGCAGAGGAGACACAGAAAGTGACGGATCGGATTCCACATAGATCCTAAAGGGGAAGCCAATAGGATTTGCTAGTAGGATTAGATTCAGGGTATGAGGAAAAGAAGAATCAAGTCTAATTCAAAGTTTTGGGCCTCAATAGGCAGAAAGATGAAGCTGTTGCGATCTGACAGGAGGAAGAGAGAGGGGAGCAGATTGAAGGTGGACATCAGGAGCTTCGCTGCAGCTCTGATAGGTTTGAGATGCCTATTAGACACACATCTAAATGGACATGTGGAGCAGGTAGATTCGGAGTTTGGGAGGAAAGTCTCAATGAGGTTATAGGTGTTATTTCAAGCCATTCAAATGAATGAGGTCGTCCAGGGGGTGGGAATGAATAGAGAAGAAGTCCAAGTGCAGAGGTGACTGAGAAGCAGTGACTCCCAAGGTAGGAAACAAAAATCGGGAGAGGACGGGGTCCTAAAAGCCAGGAGGGCAAAGTGCTTCCAAAAGGAGAGGAATCGGAGACAGTGCCTATGGACACATCTTTCTAGGAGTTCTGCTGCAAAGAGGAGCAAACAAATCAAACTAGCTACAGGCAGAAAGGGGATCAAGAGTTGTTTTTTTAATTCTTTTTTTCAGAATTTTATTTATTTGACAGAGCGAGAGAGGGAACACAAGCAGGGGGAGCAGGAGAGGGAGAAGCAGGCTCCCCGCCGAGCAGGGAGCCCGACGCGGGGCTCGATCCCAGGGATCATGACCTGAGCCGAAGGCAGACTGAGCCACCAAGGCGCCCCTCAAGAGTTCTTTTTAATGCTGAGAGAGATTGCAGCGTTGCTCGTAGGCTCATCCGAAGGAGAGAACAGAGAAGGTAAATAATGATGTAGGAGAAAGGGGACTTGCTGGAGTGATTTCCAGCAGGAGGCAAGAGCAGGTGGCGGGCTGGATTTTGAGAGGAATGCAGACAGTTCATCTAGGACCGGATCTCTCAGCGACAGCACGACGGACACCGGGGACTGGGTAAGCTTTGCCGTGGGGGCCTGTGGTGTGCTTGGCAGGATGTTGCACAGCATCCCGGGTCCCTACCCCCTAGAAGTCAGCAGCATACCAACCCCTGCAGCCATGCTGTGACAACCCAAAGTGTCTGCACACATTACCAAATGGCCCCCAAGATTTCGCCCCCCACCAGGGGACATTTTGGGTGGTCACAGCTGGGGGGAGGGGTGCTAGGGGCATCGAGTGGGTAGAGGCCGGGGATGCTGTGAGGCATCCTACCATGCACAGAACGACCCTCACGACCAAGAGTTACTCAGTCCCAAATGTCAACACAGCTGCTGAGAAGCCCTGATCTACAGGAAGAGGCCTGGTCGAGATCTCTGATGGCACAGACACCGGCGGGTGGGCAGAGGTGGTGGGGACTTGTGGAAGTTCTCTTCTCATTGCTTCCATCTCTTTATTGAAAAAAGAAGCAGGTTCATCAGCTGTGAGGCTGGGAAGGAGGTACAGGAAGTTCAGGGAGAGAAGATATGAAACTGTCCTTTAGGAGAAGAGGAGAATGAATGGACGGGGAAGTAGACGCGATTCTAGGCTACATTAAGCGTTCACTTGAGGTAAGTAGTCAAGAATTTAGTGTGAAATCAGTTGACCTGGATACGTGTTCCTCTTGGGGCCATATACAAGGGCAGAGTATGGAGAGAGCTGGACTTCACAGACTGTGGTTTTGCCAACAAGTACAAGCAACAAAAGGGCACACGAGTGATAAAAATGACCACAGAAGTTGAGCCGGGTACGAAGACAGAGGGATGTAGATGACTATGAAAAGGAAGGTGGGCAAAGAGCAACAAACATCAAATATCCATTCCAATAGGCTACTTTCAAATGTTTCGAACATGATGAGCTGCAAAAGGGAGGAAATTAAGGTGAGCTGACATACCAAGGTAATGACGTTGTCTTAGTAAATACTGGAGCACGATACTGAAAGACAGAGTATAACCATTTCTAAATGTAACCAGATAAACGGAGCTTCCTAAGTCAGCTCAGTGTTTGGGGCCATGGTTTCCTTGGTTGAGTTGCTCTCCATCAGTGAAGCCATCCGCTAGGGAAGCCACACCAAACATCCGAGAAATCAGGGGACTCAAAAGTTTGAAGTGACTTCTAGTCCTTATTTACTAGTTTGTTGATGGATTTGACTTACAGTTGTTCAGATGCTTATGGGCATACCTGGGGGCGGGGGGCAGGCCTCACACATCTGACTGAACTGCCTGAAGTACCAGGCAAAACTGTGGCCATCTGAAAGGCTATCCATGATGCTGACGCTTCCAAGGTCAAAGTCACCAACGGTTGTTTCTGGGCAGGCTTTTGTTTCCTGCTTTTGAGGACTTCATCTTAAAATTACAAAGGAGGGACACCTGGGTAGCCCAGTTGGTTGAGCGCCTGACTCTTGGTGTCGGCTCACGTCATGATCTCAGGGTCTTGGGATCCAGCCCCGTGTTCCGGTCACCCTCTGAGGGTCATGGAATCAAGCGCTGCTTTAGGCTCCACGCTCTGCAGGGAGTCGGCTCGAGATTCTCTCTCTCTCTCAAATAAATAAATCTTAAAAAAAAAACAAAAGAAAGAAAATTACAAAGGAAAAAATGAAAGGTATCCATTTCCTCCCCGGGTGCATTATGAAATATTACAAGAAACCAAGGGCACTCTTATGGGAACAACATGTAGCCTTTGCGGACATGGGCCTCCTGAAATCACTTAGGTATCAGAAGACTGAGTATAAGCAGAATGGTCTCAGGCAAGGCATTCAGACTCGTCGGCTTTAACTTCCTCAGCCGAAAAATGAAGATAGTCATACTTAGCACGGCTACCTCATAGGAGTGTATGTGAAAGTGCTTTGTAAACCATCTTGTACTTTACTAACAATAGAGATTGTGCCTACACTTTGAGGACAGCAGGAAAGTGGAACAAAAGTCTCCCTCCTTGTCAGAATGGAAAAAAGGCACAAGAGTTTTTCACTAAAGGCAGAAACCTACGTGGCATGCAGCAGAGGGGGCACCCGCCTCTTTTCTACATGGAGTATGTGTGGGAACTTGGCCAAAGCTTGCACTCGGAGAACCCATCCTTTAGAGCAAGGGCAGACAGAAGGCTGGAAGACCAGCAAAGCATTCCCTAGAGAAAAACCAAAACACAGCTGTGAGTGTAATTTCAGGCCTAATTCGCGGCAGCCTTGTTCTGCACTGACAGAGGTTTGGAAACAGGTGGGATATACTTATCATAGGGCATCCTGGGAGTCATTATGGTTCATGGATTAGCAGGAAACGTTGAGCTTTCATGAATCCATCCTCCTGCTGGTGGCTATCCACTCGTGGTCATCTGCATCAAGGGCTCAAGAGGCCTGGAGAAAGGCATCAACAAAAAAGCATTCTGCAACGGGCCCCATGATGAATATTACAGGGAGCTCAGTAGGAGGTAGGAAGCCTGGTAGTCGAGAACCCAAGCACTAGCTGCAGGCCTGCCTCTATTCCTGTGGAAAACATACATGGCAGGTAACTGCCTTCATTTGCCCACCCGGAAAGGAGGGATAACATTTAGACCCAGAGGGGAAGTGGGGGTATCTAGTCCAACCCACGCATTTCACAAAGGAGGACACTGAGGCTTGGGAGGTGAACTGAAGAGCACATAGCTAATGAGTAACCAGGGCAGGGCTAGAATCCAGATTATGCCCCCCAGATTAGTGTGCCTTCCACCCACCTGTTTCTTCCAGGGGTCTTCCCAGGAAGACAGGAATTGGCTGAAGGGGCTGCTTTCATACAATCAGTACCATCTCTCCATCATTCTGCCAGCTTCAGAGGAAGACGCCAGGGAGAAAGACAGCCCCAGCCTTCAGCCATGTTCAACTCAGCACTTAGAGATGCCTGATCTTCAGTGGGTTTTCCAGCTTGAGGATGGTGAGCAATCCTAGGACGGCGACGAAGATCCATCCAAAGGCACTGGGGAGGGCAAACGGCACTGACAATGAAAACTAAAAAGCGAGACCACACAGGAGCCCTTCGTAATGGAGGGTTCCAGCATCGGATCGGGGCCCACAGTCCCGGAAGCACAGCGACAGGTTCACGGGCCACGACCTGTGGGGTCGCAGGGGCCGGCGCTGGGTCTAATGCTCTGCTTTTCACCGTTTTGGAGTTCCCAATAACTCATGCACAAGGAACCTGGCATTTTCATTTTGCACTGGGCCCCTCAACTCTTGCGGCGGGTCCCGCTTCATCACCCCCAGCCGTCAAGGGGTGGCCCGTCTACACCGGCCCTCCCATCCCCACCCCAGCCCAGACACGTAGGGGCCACCAAAAGTCCTGCGACTTTCAGCCCCCGTGGGCGGGGGTGGGGGGTTCGGGAGAGGACGAACGCGGTGCAAATGTCAGGGGAGTTTTAGGAGCCTACACCCTCGGGCAAGGGGCCCACTAACCAGCGGCCTCTTCCAACGCTGGCCACAGAAATGCCAAAATGACAGTGACCCCCAGCCCACACCCAAACCCCGCGCTGCCTGAATCTCTGGCTCCAAGTGGCGCTCCGGTCCGCCCCGCTCCGGACTCAAGGCCCCCCAGTGCTGCGGGCAGCGGCTCAGGGGGCCCAGGGCTAAACCGGGCAAGCGCGGCTCCCTCGCCAGCCGAGGGAAGCTGCCTAGAGCGGTCGGGGCCGCGGCACGGTCCGCTTCCGCCCGCCCTCTGGGCGGGTCCCGCCGGCCTCGCGCTGACAGAAAGTTTGGGACGGGTGATTAGCGGGGCGGCTCTCAGGAGGGTAACCCCAGCCCTGGCCTCGCCCTGGTCACAGGGGTGACGAACGTGGCGGGCAGGTTACGCGGGCAGCCCCAACGCCACCGGCAGAGCCGGGGCCTTGGCCGCGAACACGCTACCTTGCAGGTGGGGCGGGGCCACGGCGGAGGTGGAGCTACGGCCGAGAGGCGGGTTTTGAGCGGAGGCGCCGTTTCGGATGTGAGACTATGAATAAGCTAATGATGGCGACCTTGTAACGCGGAGGTTCCATAGTGTAGTGGTTATCACGTCTGCTTTACACGCAGAAGGTCCTGGGTTCGAGCCCCAGTGGAACCAAGGGGGCGAGCTTCCTTTTTTTCTCTTCCGCTTTTAACATTTGAGGGCACAGGCAAAAAAAACGGAAAGCAAGACAAAGTTCTTTTCTTACTCCTTTAAAAATGATATTTGTTTTACTTTTCTATTTGGGGACATTTAAATTTTTTTTCTTACTTTTTAATTTTTTGGGGGGGGATATGTTTTTATTGCAGAAGCTTAATGACAAATACCCTCTCCTCCCATCAGCAGCAGCAGAGGTGGGTGCCTAGTCGTGTCATAGTCCCGAGGACGTCCCCGCCCGGGGCCAAGGCGGCCTGAAAAAATCCGGAGTTCCTAGGAAGCAAGACCACCTGGCCCCAAAGCCTCCAACTGAAATATGGCAATGAAAAAGCGCTTTGACTGCGGTTGAATTATTACAGGTTTATTGTTATTATTATTATTATTAAAGGGTTAATTTTTCATTAAACTCTAAAATGCAGAGCAGGGGTAAAATAGTCCTTTACTTTTTAATACAGCAGTAGGGTTTGTTGAATAGACCTTCCTCTGTGTAATGACGAATCTGTACACGGTACAGAGTAAATGTCGGGCTTGTAGACACCCAATAAATACTGACTAAATGACTAAGTGTTTCTCTAGCTCCTTTTTGTTCCTCCTTATAGTTCATTACACTTTCGTGTGGGGGGGGGGGTCATTATTATCTTTTTAGATTGGCCTTTTTCATCTTTGACAAGAGGAATGAAGGGAAGGTGTCTGGGACCCTGGGGGCTGTGGTGGAATCGTGGTGGCCCAAAACCAAAAAGGGAAGGGGAAACTCGGTATTTTTCTCTGCATTTTTCCACATTGTTTGGCTCATACAATGTGTACATTTGCATCCTTTTCTAAATCAAGAGTATAACACACGTTTGTCCCTATTATCACAATCATTTCATTAACTTGTTTTATTTTTTATCATCTTAACCATGTTTAAGTGCACAATTCAGTAATGCTAAATATATTCACATTGTTGTGAAAAAGATCTCCAGAACTTTTTCGTCTTGCAAAACTGAAACTCTGTACTCATTAAACAACTCCCCTTTTTACCCATCAACTTTATTATTAGTGGCTGTATAATAATAATAACTAATTATGTCTAGCACTGTTTTAAGTATATATGTAATCGCCCCACTTGAACCTCAAACTGACTCTATGAAGTAGGCATTATTATCATCATCTTATAGATGAGAAAGTTGAGGCACAGAGACCTCAAGTAACTTGCCCAAGGTCACATGACAAGTGGTTGAGCTGAGATTTGCACCCAGTCTGGCATGGGAATCAGTGCTCTTAACTCTACCTGCTACATTGAAGCCCCTGACCTTGGCCGTGTAGATTGTTTCCTATTTTTTTTATTATAAATAACAAAGCAAGGTACGTCTTTGTGTGTAACCATCTCCCCCTCCCAAACTGAGTATTTTCCTGAGTGAATAGGTATGAACATGATGCCAAGTTGCTTTCCAAGAAGAAAATCCATGTCCCTTTCATAGAATTTGACAATGTTAGTGCTGATTTGGCAGGAAATTGCTCAAGGTCACCCCCTGAGAAGACGATGGCAAAGAAAGGATTAAGACCTGGGTCTTCTGATTGTAGTTTCTCTTGCCCTCCACTGTTTCTCTTAGATTTAAAGATACCATAGGGGCGCCTGGGGTGGCTCAGTCAGTTGAGCAACCAACTCTCGGTTCCCGCTCAGGTCATGATCTCAGGTTGTGGGATCGAGCCCCACGTCTGGCTCCCTGCTCAGTGGAGAGTCCGGTTGGGATTCTCTCTCCCCCTGCTAGCTCACTCTCTCTCTCAAAATAAATAAATGCATCTTAAAAAATAAATAAATAAAGATAGAGTAAAACCAGTATCTTCCTTTGCTAAACCAACCTCAGTTGACATTAGACTCCTCTCTGAGACTTGCTTGTTGAGGCAGGATGTGGGTTAACTTCCTAGGGCTCAGCCAAAGCCCTAAGAACTAAATGGAATAAGATGCTTAATGAGACCAGTGCTCAAGTTAAGCCCCTGCTCCTGGGGAAGCTCTGCACTTGGATAAAGTAGAGCTGCAGCCAGGGACAAGCGGAGCATGCCACGCAAGATAGAAGGCTTCTTGTTTTTACTGCTCTTCGGCTATGAAGGTATGTGCTGTGCAAACATTAGCATTTATCAAATACTTAATAGTACAAGTGAATTAGTAATTTTGCTGATTAATAGAGATGCAACCTGAATAATTAAAATATCATTAACTAGCAAGGCATGTTAATCGGTCAAGATGCATTGTTAATGAACAACAGTTGTCTTTATGTGGATGTGGTTCTCTTAGTCTCACCACGGGCTTTCTGGTTCTCTGAGGAGCCTTCTAAAGTTCCAAGGATGCTTGAAATGGGACAGGGAGAAGGAAGGGCCTCAGAAATTGTAGAAAATAACTATAAATTGCAACAATTAACAAGAAAGTGTGGTGTAGCCTTGAAAATTTTTAGGAGTCAAAGTTAGAGTGCCTGTGGAATTTAATCTTCCAAACTAGGACACTACTGAGAGCGGAAGAGAATGCTATTAATAATTCTGCTGGGACAACAGGTGTAAGCCAGGACTGTCCCGGGCAAATCCGGACGTGAGGTCACTCTAGTTTAAATATAGATTAACATAACATGCCGACTACCACTGAACTCTAATAGAAAGCATAATCCAACGGAGAGTCAGGAAGCTCCAAAGACTCTATACACTCAATCGTTTTTAAATTTCTCAATATGGCCCTGGCAGGAGTAATATGCTTAAATAAGGAGAAATTAAAAGCAAATCTCTAAGATATCATCCAATTCAACTTTTAAATTCTCTCTCAACCTTTGAAATAATAGTCCTTCATGCCTCTCTCAACTCTCAAGGACCTGTTAGCTCAGAATTCCTTTCTAGATTCATTCTGAACGTTAGAAATTGGTTGAATGTCTTCTTCGAGGTGATTGTGTATTTATGCGTGTCACAGGAAATAAATAAGAAGGGCGGGAAGGAGGAGGCCTCTCCACTCTGCAAATGACCTGGTGGACAGACGGGATGCAACTCACACAAGTGGAGTCAGAATTCCTGGTTTAAATCACGCTCCTCTCTGCCCTCCCATTAGACGTTATTGGTAGAGTATGTGCTTCCATGATTCCCCCAATCGCATGCCTTTTGGTATTTCGTCACCGTTCTCAGTATTTGGAAAGATCTGTATGAATATAATCCCAAGATCATTTTGCAAACCCAAATACATTTCTTAAGTAGGGATCATTGAGACCAACTGTCTGTTTTTGTTTTTGTTTTTTTTCCGCTTTGCAATGAAGAGTCAGCGATTTGTCTCAGGAACTCTCAATACTTGAAGGTGCTCCGGGTGTTTTGTTGTTTTTCCTTTACTCCTTGCGCTTGCCTCAGCAAGAAAATCTAAACAGAACCTTTCAAAGCTTAGATTCCCATATTTCCGGTTCTCTGATATCCATATAGGCCTCACCCTCCGATTTCTCTTCTGTGTGATCGGTCGGCATTGAGATTCATCCATCCATCCATCCATCCATCCATCCATCCACTCATTTTTTTGTCGGTTTGTTAAAAACCCACCCCTGAATCGTTGCTGTGGGCCAAACACTGTGTAAGAATTTGACACGCAGGGCAGATCTTTATTACTTTCACAGTGCTGAGTCTAACATCTGTGCTCTGTGACCCCCAAATAGGAAAAAGCCCTATAAAAGTTTACCAACCCCTTTTAAAATTAGACCTGCCCATTCAGGAGATATCTGTAATAAAAGACACGCTGTCAGGAGGCCCGGAACACAGCATTCTTTCCTGTTCTATCTCTTACCAATCTGTGTGCATGGCTGAGGGGCTCCAGAAATTTCCATGAAGAGCAGAAAATACCATCTGGCTGGGTGGACTGGAATGTGGTCCACGGGGTGGTCCAGGGACCATTTTATGGTCAGTGTGGCTTAGCGACCTATGTGTGCTCTACCCTGAGCTAGAGGGATGCTCAAAAGGCAGAGAAAAAAATACAGGAATACAGGATGCGGTTGCTGCACTTCCTCAGCTTCCCACCCAGAGAGAGAATCAAGGCCAAAGCACAGGGGGAAAATGTTTTCTATTGCACAACTGGAAACCGGAAGACAAAGGTTCTTTGTCTAATGTACTCTTCACTGTTTCTGTTTCACGGTGGCAGCAGCTCCTTATTACAGTGAACTAAGATAAATGGATTGACTCCACCACCTGTGCGTTGGGTGAAGGTTCATTTGGGAACGGAGACACTGTCATCGTAAAGCACTACCTACATCTGATAACGGAGGCAGGCTTCTATTTATCTTACATTGTACATCTTGGGTTCAATGCAAATGATGATTTTTAAAAATTCACCTTATTAAAATAAAGAGATCCAGTACTTGGTCATGTTTATATATACATATATATATATATATTTAAAAGCAAACCTCATCTTACAGGTGTGTCTCCTCTGCAGGTGACAGCAGAGGTTTTTTTTAAGCAGCTTATTGAGATGTAATTTACATAGCATTAAATTCCCCCCTTTAAGATGTGCGATTCAATGGTGTTTAGTGTATTTATAGATTTGTGGCGCACACAATCCAATTTTAGAACATTTTCGTCACCCCCCCTTCCCCAAAGAAACCGGTAGACATTAAGCCCGTTTCCCCCTCTCCCCAGCCCCTGGCAAACGCCGATCTACTTCCTGTCTCTGTAGATTTGTCTGTTCCAGACATTACATTTAAGTGGAATCATACAACATATGGTCTTTTATCTTTCAC